CCTCCAGGGGGATCCCGAGGCGTTGCCAGGCCTGCTGAGAGGCCTAGCCCCTACAGCGTGTCCTGGGCCTTCCACATCGAGAGAAGTCAGCTGAGGTGGCTCAGGCATATGTTTCGGATGCCTCCTGGACGCCTAACTAGGTAGATGTCCCAGGCATGTCCCACCAGGAGGAGGCCTTGGGGAAGACCCAGGACATGCTGGAGGGACTACATCTTTCAGCTAGTCTGGGAACGCCTCGGGATCCCCCAAGAGGAGCTGGAGGAAGTGTCTGGGGTTCTTTCCCAAGACTGCTGCCCCCGCGACCTGGCCACGCATAAGCAGACAAAAAGGAGATGAGGTTAATATTTACAGTAAATAATTTATGATTATTTTTACATTTAGTTAATTATGTAGTTTAAATTTTTTAAAGACATATCAGGACAAAGAATGTGCTTTGCATAGATAATAAAATGTAATTTTGTTAGTAAAACATGATGATGTTTGCTTGTTTTTTTAATCCTATCGTTCAATAGGATGTGTGTTTATATATATTTGCTTTTTGATTCTTTTGCTTTTGTCAGTTGTAATGCTCTGTAAAATACCTGAAATAATTTGGCGTAATGATACAGCCACTTGCATGCCTTACAATGTTTGACAGCAAGTCAGAATCAAGCATTCAGCTGCCCTGAAATAAGGAGCACATATAGCCTGTTTCAGAAAAAAATGAACTTTTAATGGGAACATAATGTTGCATCATCACTTTCTTAATGTACTTGTAAGAGCAAATCCATTTATAAGCCTCTATTTGAACTTTAAAAATGTAATTAGGCCTGAGGTTTGTGCTCTACATCCACCCTCTACACACACACACACTCAGTCTTAATTATCTCTAATTATCACTCATTGGCCAGGATACAGTGAACATAAAAAAACAAAAGTCAGTCACGCTAACTATCTTGGCCTGTTGAACTGTATGACCCTTGCAATTTTTGCTTCATATTGGCATGATAGCATCACGCATTTGCTGCAGATTTGTCGGCTGCACATCCATGATGCGAATCTCCCGTTCCAACACATCCCACATGTGCTCTAATGGATTGAGTTCTGGTGACTGTGGAGGCCATTTGTAATTTAAATGTTCCATCATGAGTGCAATTCTTTATTAAATCTTTCTATATTACTTGCTAAGTATGTCTATAAATGCAATCAGTTTCATCATTTATTATTTATTGATCCATTAATGTTTTGTTCAGTTTCTCCATTTAAATGAGTTAATTGTATCCTGCCACCACCTTTTGGGTGAGAACTACCTTTAAATTAATAATGTTACAAATAAATTCATAGTCTAACATTAATTAATTAAAACACAGTCTTCTCTGTGTTATTTTTAAAATGGTACATTTTTATAATGATTTCAATTGATTATTGAGAGTCACATACCACATTGTTATTCTATTTAATTTAATATGAATATTAAATAGACATAAATGTTTTATGTTCATGAATAAAATACTTGCACAGAAAAAAGGTCAGAGAACTGAGCAGTTGAATGTGAATAATATGAATGTGTATGTAAATCAGCTCTCCACTGTAAACAACCACAGTAAAACACCCACCGTTTTATTTATTACTTATTCTTCAGGACACAAATCTGGCATTTTATCTGACATAAAAACACCCATGTGAACATTTGAAATCTTTATTCGACAAATACTATTACATACCAACTTCCCCTGCAGTAACACAAAGCAATATATTCTGTTTAAAGTCTTATTTTCTTGGTTCAAGTGGAAATTTGGCTAATCTGAATGTTTATTTTAAATCTCAAACGTCTCACCTTGAATGCAGACAACAAAAAACAGCCATAATCCCAGTCTAACCGTACCTGTAGTAAATATACAGCTGACTGGGTGAGTTCTCGATTTCTGTGTAGGCGGAATTAACGATACGATTCTTGCTGCCTTATTTTTTTAGTTGAATCAACTTAACTTTTCTAGTCCTCTCTACTTAGCTGACTGGGTGAGTTCTCGATGGGGATTTCTGTGTAGGCGGAAGTAACGATACGATACGTGTCGTCATGTGAAAAGGGTCTATCAGTGATGATCTGGAACTGGTGTGTGAGTAAGGTGCATGATGGTGAATGTAGTCCAGTTGAGTGGCAGATGTGTAGTAGCATGAATGATAGTGAGTGTTCTCTAGTGATCTGTACGGGCTGGATCATTTGTGATGATGACCATACGCTTATTTCACGCAGCCGCCATTTTAAAGAACCAAAGCGAGGCTGCAGTGGGAACAAGCCCGGAAGTATAGGACCATAGGATGCTGTGCACTACAAACCTCCGGCTGTTGCTGAGATTTAAAAATGCAGACATGGTGTAAACATCACTTTAATATCATTCAGTTCAGTTTTATTTAAACAATTAAAAGGATATTAGGCATCAAACAACATCACAATCTCTTTAAGGGTAATATGCTCAAGTGTCCCCCTAGGCTTCAGTTCATGGCACTTAAACACCGTGGAGACGCCTCCCTTCTTCAACCTATGTAACCCGGTGAGTGATAAAACACTGCAGTCCTTTGTAGCACACGCTTGTGTAGTCTGTAATAGTGTTGTCCCGGTACTGAAGTTTTAAAAACGTCAATTTTCTGCATACATTCAAGCGCCTCTGAGCGTGTTCATAAACAGCGCTAATTTACTATAGTGTTCACCAGTACTCATTAGTTTTCTGCTCTTCACCCAGTGTAAACACAGATACACGGAGACTGGAGCGCGAAGCAGCCGTAAAGATCTGTCGAGTCATCAAGCAGATCGCTCGGCTCGTCTGTGTTTGTGTACTTGGTAAACAGCGGAGGGTGAACTGATGACCTTCTCGGCCAATCGCAATCATTTCCTTTGAGCACGTGAACACAATGGCAAATCAGCGCTGTTTTCCCTGCTGAAAAATCCAGCCTTAACCAGCCTAGGCTGGTTGGCTGGTTTTAGCTGGTCGACCAGGCTGGTTTTAGAGGGGTTTTGGCCACTTCCAGGCTGGTTTCCAGCCATTTCCAGCCTGGTCTTAGCTGGTCAGGCTGGGGAATGACCAGCTAAAACCAGCTTGACCAGCCTAGCCAAGCTGGGAGTCCAGCCAAAACCAGCTATACCCAGCTTAAACCAGGCTGGTCAAGCTGGTTTTAGCTGGATTTGGCTGGTCATTTTCCAGCCTGACCAGCTAAGACCAGGCTGGAAATAGCTGGAAACCAGCCTGGAAATGACCAAAACCCCTCTAAAACCAGCCTGGTCGACCAGCTAAAACCAGCCAACCAGCCTAGGCTGGTTTAAGCTGGATTTTTCAGCAGGGTTAAGAAAGCCATCAACAGTGCATTAAATGTTAGCAGGAAATTGGCGGTTTTTCTTTTAATTCACTATCGTGACAATTCTAATATAGTGAAAGAATCAGCTCATTAACTTGAGTTTGATAAATGGCATCTAACCACTGTGTGTTTGGGAAAGAAAACGTTAGCTAACGAGTGCCATTTCCCTTAACTAAGCTGAAAATGAGCTCTGAAATCCCTTCTTAGTTTCAGCATTCATTTAGAACGGACCTTCGGGTCACTCGGAAGGTGGTGAAATGATAAATTTGTGTCACTTTCTCTTCACTGATAAGATATACAGCCAGCTACACAACGTTCCTATAAAACTCCCAACTAAGGGTTTCACGATCCTCCAAATCCTCGATTCGATTACATTTTCGATTCTAAAGTCACGATTCGATTCGATTTTCGATTATGAATAATTCATTAATTAATAACTAATTAATTATTAGTAGCCTACCGTTTAAACTACCTGACTTGCATGGTCTTTGTTTTACCCATAAACAAATCATACAGTAAATGAATAAAGGCAAGATACCCACATAATTACCACCTGTCAATCACTTTTTCTGCGGGACTCATGAATAGGCAGTGATCTGTGTCGTTATAATGGCGTCGGTAAAAAAGGTGCACAACCAACAGGAACCAGCCAACAGTATCTGAGGTGTTCGCTAAAATAACTAAGTACTTGTGTGAAAGTAAAAGATGGAAGCAGTCTACTGACCCGCTGACTGCCTTGACCCACTGTCTCGAGCGCATGACAATGTGTGTGCGTCTGTGTCTGTGTGTGAATGAGTGTGTGTGGTCACGTGATGTGCGATTTCAGCGGTAGTGAGGAAGGAGGGCTGCTCAGAAATGCTACACGCCAGTGTGGATGTGGATCGTTGTCGTTCTAAAATGCCATTTAAAAAAAAAAGCATATTAATGTAAACAGGGCCTGAGTGTGTATTTTTCGCTAGCGGATTTGCAACGGGTGCGGGGCGGAGGATCGCGATGCGCCCATCGTCTATCACCCCAACCGTAATACGTACATAGCAAATCTTGCAAACTGTTTTTTTTTTTTTTTTGTCGACAACACGAACGTTGTCAACATAACTAACTGGAAATCCAAAATACTTCCACACCGGCGACTTCATTGAAAGAGGAGAGGATTTAAGCTGTCGACGGGTCTCCTGCGTCTGCAGTTTAACAAGCACTTCAACAAGCCTGTTTTTTTCCCGTTTGGCAAGCCAAGCTGACGTGACATGGGGGCGTGGCAGCATCGACGATTCTATTTTTTGATTCGATAATCGAAGTTGAGCTTAAATTTCGATCGATTTCGATTAAAAATCGAAATCGTGACACCCTTACTCCCAACCATACTGTACTTCTGGGTTTCTTCCCACGGCAGCCTCGATTTCGCTTTTAAAAATGGCAGCCACGTGAAATCAGTCTATGATGGAACTAAGCTAGCTTATTATCTTTTACAAATCTAAGTTGATTGGACATAAAACAGTTAAGTTGTCCTCCCAAAAAACTCAAGAATTGTGTTGTTTCGGCTGATTATAAATTAGTTTGAACAAACAGCAAATGTCATTTTTTTGAGTTCAAAACCCAGGGAATATTTGTAGGCATTTATTTGCTTAAGCGAGTCAAATATTTACAATGTGTGTTTCTCTCGGACTCCACAGTGACGGGTCTCCAATGGAGGATCAGGTGTTGAAAGATCGAGGAGACGAGCCAAAAGAAGGAGCTCATTGCATGTCTCTCCTATCGCCGCAGCTCAAAGCCATGATCCGCATCAAGAAGAAATACCTGAAGAGGACAAACTCAGTCCGACTGGCGAACTCTGGAGTCTCCGACGGCGCTTCACATCCTCCAAACAGGAAGCTCAGGCGCAGGAAGTCTCGTGTGCTTTTCCCAAACGACACGCTGATGTTCAAGCCAAAGAAAGAGCGCAGCCGAGCCAAACCTTTCCTCACACTCTTCAGCATCATCGTCTTCATACAGGTCATTTCTCTAACTTGTGTAGCTTTTCTGGTTTTTCCTAAATATTTTTTGCAAGCTAAACTGGCTATCATGGCCATGGTCATAGTCAGAGATTGAAAATTAGGGGCAGTTTACTTGACAATGTTTTAAGCCAAAACCTGGAAACTTTCAAAGGGTATTGTACAGGTCATCTCTCCAACTTCTGTGGCATTTCTACTTTATTTTATATATTTTTTAGTCAGCTAAAGAGACTATCATGGCCATGGTCGTAGTCAGGGATTGAAAATTAGGGGCCGTTTACGTGTAACGGAGGCCAGCTAGTAAGTGCTGTGCAGGTAAACCTCTTTCCTCTGACCTGTAAAGGTGCTCTAGCGACAGACGCTAGAGGCCATGGTCTTTACCCTCCTTGTTACTCCCATTCGGAAGGTCGCCAGTTCGATACCAGCTCGGAGCGGGTTGGGTGGCGTAAGACCGGTGGGGTTACATTGGTGCCGTGACCTGGATGGGTGTGAGGTTTAAGGGGGTGAGTGTAACGGAGGCCAGCTAGTGAGTTCTGTGCAGGTAAACCTCACTCCTCTGACCTGCAAAGGTGCTTTAGGACAGATGCTATAGGCCATGGTCTATAGCCTCCTTGTTAAAGCAACCTACTCCCATGCGGAAGGTCGGCGGTTCGACACCAGCTCTGAGCGGGTTGGGTGGCGTACGACCGGCGGGGTTACTTACGCAACAATGTTGTTACCAGCTTTTTTAAATATCTTCTTTACTGTTCATCAGAAGAAAGTGGAGTCTCAGTAAACGATGACAGGATTTTGAATTTGGGGTGAACTGCTCCCTAAAGCCACGTGTTAAAAATGAATCAATTTGCATTTATGTTAAAATGACTATATAGTATGTTAACAGTTGACCTCTACAGTACATCTAGCCCATTTAAAGACTTAGCCAAAAACTGGAAGTTTTCAAAGTCTATTGTACTGTTCATCTCTGCCTTTTATGGCATTTCTATTTTATTTCATATATTTTTTAGTCAGCTATGAGGCTATCATGGCCATGGGCGAAGTCAGGGATTGAAAATTAGGGTCCGTTTATGCTACAGTGTTGTTACCAGCTTTTTTTATATCTACTTTTCTGTTCATCAGAAAAAAGTTGAGGCTTAGTAAATGATGACAAAATTTTTAATTTGGGGTGAACTTCTCCCTGAAGCCACGTGTTAAAAATGAATCAATTTGAATTTATGTTAAAAGGGCTGTATTGTATGTTAACAGCTGATCACTACAGTACATCCAGCCCATTTAAAGACTTGAAAACTGGAAACTTTCCAAGTGTTTCGTACTGGTCATATCTCTGCCTTCTGTGGCATTTCTATTTTTTTTAAATATATTTTTGGGTAGCTAAATAGGCTATCATGGTCATGGCTGTAGTAAGGGATTGAAAATTAGGGGTTGTTTATATGACAATGTTCTTAGCCAAAACCTGGAACCTTTAAAGTGTATTGTACAGTTCATCTCTGCCTTCTATGGCATTTCTAGTTTATCTTATATATTTTTAGCCAGCAAAAGAGGTCATCATGGCCATGGCCGTAGTCAGGGATTTTTTTTCAGCTTTATTTTTTACTATCTATTATTTTTAATATAAAGTTGAGGCTCTGTAAATGATGACAGGATTTTGAATTTGGGGTGAACTGCCCTTTAAAACCACATTAAAAATTAATCAATTCATGTTAAAAGGGCTATATTGTATTTTAACAGCTGACCTCTACAGTCCATCTTGCCCATTTAAAGTCTTTTGCTAAAAACTGAAAATTTTCTAAATGTTTTGTACAGGTCAAATCACTGCTTTCTGTGGCATTTTTATTTTATTTGATATTTTTGATCAGCTAAACAGGGGTGCGTTTCCAAAAACCATTGTTTGCCAACTAAGGTCGCAAGTTCTGTCGTTACAAACATTGTTCGTTGATTTAGTGTTTCCCAAATCCTTCGTTCCAACGAACATTTGCAAACTGCGTCACTAACATGTATGTTTGCAACTATACCTCTGGAGATGGTGTTAGAAACATACAGTAGTTTCTGGCTGTGTTCTATTCCCAGTTATCCCCCCTATGCCCTATTCGCTTAGAACATTCTAACATTTAAACTCGGAATGATTTTTTTTTTTAAAGCATTAAGGTCATCTCTCTCAGGTGTAATTTGCTTTCAAAGTATGTTTACAGTTCAGTTTTAGCGATCTTCATGTTAACAATTGCCCTCCCTTCGCAGTGCACTTTGAAAACATTGATGTCATTTTGAACACAGTCTTGACTCGTGGCTCATGACGAAAGCTATAGGTGACCTATTATTTAAAAGCGGAATTTATGTTACGTCTCCAAAGCTTGTGAAAACAATAAACATAGCATACGTTAATCGTTTAAATTTATAGTAGATCATTATTTATTAAGTATCTGTACTGTATATGACATGGGCCTGTTGGTTAGAACATTTCTGCAGTGGTTTGCATGTGTTAAATTGTAATAGTAGACTTAAAAAATAAATAAACAATATTCTACTCTATAATAACAATAAAAAAATAATAATTTTAACCATCATCATCATCATTAATATTATTATTAAAGTAAGATTTCTTTCATTTCCTAATAAATAATAAATATTAAATTTCATTTCTTGATAAATAGCCTCATTATTCATTTATTTATTTGTTCATTTATTTATTTATTTGATTTATAAATGAGATTAGAATACATTTTAGCTTTTGTAAGTGATGTTATGTTTTAGAATAGAATATGTAATGTTCTTAATAATATTTGTGAAGGAAACACTATATGTCCCATTTACATATATTTCAATGAATATGAAAGGCGAGTGCATGTTTTTACCAAAACTAATATTGGCTACTTTATTAAATGCGTGTAAAACAATATAATTTGCACAAATAAATTATAGGGTTCTTCTCGAAGGAAGTTGTTACCACCTAGTTAAGAGCATCATTATGGGTGTTTTACGTTAGCTAACTAACTTGGTTCAAACAATAGATCTGTGACAGAGAAACTACAGGTTTTGGGAAACACTTGTCACTACATTGTTTTTTTTCCCCAAACAATGCATCGTACTATGATAGTTCAGCCGTGAGTTACGTCATTGTTTGTGAAACGCACCCCAGTTTATCATGGCCATGATCATAGTCAGGGATTGAAAATTAGAGTCTGTTTATGTGGTTTTTAGGCAAAAACAGGACACTTTGAAAGTGTTTTGCCTGTACGTTTACACACAACAGATTTCTGGGACTGAAGAATCTGAAATTGAAAACATTGTCCTTTGTCGTCCTGACTGTGTAAACAGCCCAAAACTAAACTCTTTAAAATATGATGATCTCACGTTTAAATGTTAAGAGTAGGTAGTAGGTCAATCAAATGCATCACTAACAGCTGTGCTTTGCAGTGATTAGGATGGAAGGACTGTGTTTAAAGCTCAGCAAATACTGGCCTGGTCTACATAATACAGGGGTTTCACCCTTTTTCACAGGTGAGCACGGTTGTTTTGAAAACGTTGTCATGGAAACAGGCTCTGGCCATAAATGTAGTCGGGAATTGAAAAGTAAGGGCTGTTTATGTGGTTTAGCAAAAAATTAGACACTTTTGAAGTGTTTTGCCTGTGTATTTTACACACACCGACATTTTTTAGGACTGAAAAAGCATAAATCTGAAATCGAAAACATTGTCCTTTCTTGTCCTGTCCATATACAGTGCATCCGGAAAGTCTTCATAGCGCTTCACTTTTTCTACATTTCTTCATGTTACAGCCTTATTCCAAACTGGATTACATTAAATTTCCTCAAGATTCTACACTCAATACCCCATAATGGCAATGTGAAAAAAGAGTTTTTTTAAATTGTTGCAAATTTATTAAAAATAAAAAAGCTGATCAATCACATGTACATCAGTATTCACAGCCTTTGCAGTGTAGCTTTATATTGAGCTTAGGTACATTCTGTTTCCACTGATCATTCTTGAGATGTTTCAGCAGCTTAATTAAAGTTCACCTGTGATAAATGCAGTGTATTTAACATGATTTGAAAAACCATACAACTGTCTATATAAGGTCCCAGGGTTGACAGTGCATGTCAAAGCACAAAGAAAGCATGAAGACAAAGGAATTGTCTGTAGACCTCCAAGACAGAATTGTCTCAAGGCACAAGGCTGGAGAAGGTTACAGAAAAATTTCTGCTGCTCCGAAAGTTCCAATGAGCACAGTGGGCTCCATCATCTGTAAGTGAAAGATGTTTGGAACCACCAGGACTCTTCCTAGAGCTGGCCGGCCATCTAAGCTGAGTGATCGGGGGAGAAGGAATTTAGTCAGAGAGGTGATCAATAACCCGATGGTCACTCTGTCTGAGCTCCAGCGTTCTTCTGTGGATAGAGGAGAACCTTACAGAAGGACAACCATCTGTGCAGCAATCCACCAATCATGCCTGTAGAGTGGGCAGACGGAAGCCACTCCCTGCCTGGAATTTGCCAAAAGGCATCTGAAGGACTCTCAGACCACAAGAAACTAAATTCTCTGGTCCGATGAGACTAAAATTTAACTCTTTGGAGTGAAAACTAGGCACCGCTTATCACCAGGCTAATGCCATCCCTAAAGTGAAGCATGGTGGTGGCAGCATCATGCTGTGAGGATGTTTTTCAGCAGCAGGAACTGGAAGACTAGTCAGGATAGAGAGAAAACCTGCTTCAGAGTGCTCCTGACCTCAGACTGGGGCGACGGTTCATCTTCCAGCAGGACAATGACCCAAAGCACACCCCCAAAATATCAATGGAGTGGCTTAACAACAGCACGGGGTATGTCCTTGAGTGGCCCAGCCAGAGCCCAGATCTAAATCCTATTGAACATCTCTGGAGAGATCTGAAAATGGCTGTACAGTGTCGCTTCCCATCCAACCTGATAGAGCTTGAGAGGTACTGCAAAGAGGAATAGGCAGAATTTCCCAAAGACAGGTGTGCCAAGCTTGTGGCATCATATTCAAAAAGACTTGAGGCTGTAATTTCTGCCAAAGGTGAATCAACAAAGTATTGAGCAAAGGCTGTGAATACTGATGTACATGTGATTTTCCAGCTTTTTTATTTTGATTTCAAGAACTCTTTTTTTTCACATTGTCATTGTCATTATGGGTATTGTGTGTAGAATTTTGAGGAAATAAATGATTTTAATTACATTTTGGAATAAGGCTGTAACATTTAAAAAATGTGGAAAAAGTGAAGCGCTATGAAGACTTTCCGGATGCGCTGTAAATACCCCAAAACTAAATTCTTTGAAAATAACGATCTCACATTTAAATATTAAGCATGAAAAAGCACACAACAATGTTGAAAAACATGGCAGTGTGCTCAAAAACAACATCTCCTGTTTGTTCAAACTGCTTATTTAAAATCAGCTCAAACACAATTCTTGATTTTTTTTGCAGCAGCTTAATTGTTTTATGTTCAATACACTTACATTTTAAAAAACGAATTAGTTAACCTAATTCTTTCGAGTAGTCCTAACACAAATCAGTTGTGTGGAACCAAGCATACTTCACAGTGTGTTGTTGCACAAGCGTTCATTAGCAAAGTGTGTATTTCTTTACATTACAACCAAAAGTCGAGACAAAAATTCGACATAAACGGCATCAACGGCTTGATCAAATGCATCACTAACAGCTGTGCTTTGCAGTGATTAGGACGGAAATACTGTGTTTAAAGCTCAGCAAATACAGGCCTGGTGTACATAATACAGGGTTTTTGGCCATTTTCACAGGTATGTGTGAACTAATTGTTTTGAAAACGTCGTCATGTAAACAGGCTCTGGTTATGGATGTAGTCGGGATTGAAAATTGGGGGTCGTTTATGTGGTTTAAGCCTAAAAGCAGACATTTTTTAAGTGTTTTGCCTGTACGCTTATGGTATACTTACATAATACAGGGGTTTCACCCTTTTTTCACAGATTTGTTTGAATGTGGACATACAATACAAGAGCAATAAATGGTCACCTGTTTTTAGGATTAAAAGTCAACCCATACAAACAAGTCCAAATTAATGGCTCCTGACAATACACTGATGTTTTGGGAAGTAAAATAATCGCTCTGTGTAGGAAGTTGTTTATTCTTTACAATATTATTAGCTACCTCTCTGCGACTCTCACATGGTCGCCCACTGAAGCTAATCAGGGATGCTGCGCACTAGTGGTAGATAAGGTGGTGGATATTAAGTGCTATCAGTGTCCAGAAAAAAGCTGTATAAATGTAAGGATTTATTATTTGTGGCTTCCAAAAGCACATAAATCTGTTGGCAATCTAAACCATAAACATACAGGGGCTAATGCATGTCTTAGGAAGCTTATCGATGTGTTTTTGCAATAGAAATATTTCTCACATTTTTTTTTTCATTTTCATTGGCCAAATGCACATAAAACATTACTAATGTATATTCATTGGCCACTTTATTAGGTACACCTTATTAGTACCAGGTTAGACCCCCTTTTAACATGATGCACAATTTGTACTGATGGGCCCAAAGTGTGCTAAGAAAATATCCCCAACACCAGCCTGAACCGTTGATACAAGGCAGGATGGATCCATGCTTTCATGTTGTTGGCACCAAATTCTGACCCTACCATCCGAATGTCGCAGCAGTAATCGAGACTCATCAGACTCACCAGTCTGGCCATTCTCCTCTGGCCTCTGTCATCAACAAGGCATTTGCGTCCACAGAATTGCCGCTCACTGAATATTTTCTTTTTTTTTTCGAATCATTCTCTGTAAACCCTAGAGATGGTTGTGCGTGAAAATCCCGGTAGATAAGTAATTTCTGAAATACTCAGACCAGCCCGTCTGGTACCAACAAGCATTCCATGTTTAAAGTCACTTAAATCCCCTTTCTTTCCCATTCTGATGCTCGTTTTGCACTGCAGCAGATCATCTTGACCATGTTTACATGCCTAAATGCATTGAGTTGCTGCCATGTGATTGGCTGATTAGAAATTTGCATTAACGAGCAGTTGGACAGGTGTACCTAATAAAGTGGCCGGTTAATGTATAATGCCTATTTTAGTCTATGGCTTTAATGGTTCAATCTGAATAATATCAAGCTATAAGAATACTTTTGTGATCATATGAATCCAAAATACTTTCATCAACAACTACTTCTCCTTAGTGTCAGTATAGGGTGCACATTCATTAGAAGTGTTAGACATGTGTTACAACCCAGGTTTAACTTTTAAACATTAAAAACTCACAGATGTCAATCATCTTTTTCCTTATATCCCAGGTCTACAACGCCATAGAGAATCTGGACGACCATGTAGTGAAGTACGATCTGGAGGGTTTGGAGAGATCCTTACACAGGGAAGTGTTTGGCCAGCAGGAGGCGCTGGAGGAGCTAATGGACCATCTGAATGACTACCTGTCCACCTATGCCCACCAGCAGCCCCTTGCCCTGTCTCTACACGGACCATCCGGCGTTGGCAAGAGCCATCTGGGTCGCCTACTGGCCCGACATTTCCGCTCCATAGTGGACGATAAACTAGTAGTGCATTATATCTCCAAACACCACTGCCCTCTACAGGAGGAGGCTCAACACTGCGCCTCCACAATCGCCAGGCGAATAACAGAGGTAGCATATTACATATACTCATTTAGCAGATGTTGTTATCCAAAGTGACTTATAAGTGAGGATGGTAGCCCTTTACAATAACAGTACATGAATAATGATGTATTAATATGTAAACTAAACATTATTTTATTATGAACTAATGATGAGTAAATGCATGAGCTAATCATGAACTAACTTTAACTACAACACGAGTCACATCGTCACCCTAGAATTATAAGGTTCTGTCTGCGTTCTGAATGATTTTGAGATATTGAGCTTCAACGTTTTTGCATTCCATATAGCAAACAACATGTGTGTAACAGTTCTCTTTCATACATTAACATAACAGAGACACTAAGGGTTCTCTAAATGCAAAGGATCAAGTTCTCTTACACTTGCAAATTGGAGTAAAAAAACCACGGTAAACGCAGATAGAACCTTCTCATTCTGAAAAGTCATTTTCCGCTTGGAATTATAAGGTTTTACCTGGCAGATCATTCATTTAAGCATTACTTTTCAAGAAATACAATAATAAAATATTTAAGTTGGTATAGTAACAATATGTTGCTGACTATATGAAAACAAATAAATATATATACAATTAATATATATGTTTTTTAATATTCATCTCTTTTTCAACAATATAAAATGTAACATTTCATCTCGATGTCGGCGACGCAGTGCCACAGTGGATAGCACGATCGCCTTACAGCAAGAAAAACGCTGGTTCGAGCCTCAGCTGGGTCAGTTGGCATTTCTGTGTGGAGTTTGCATGTACTCTCTGTTTTGCTGTGGGTTTTCTTCGGGTGCTCCAGTTTCCCCCACAAGTCTAAACACATGCGGTACAGGTGAATTGGGTAAGCTAAAATTGGCCATAGTGTATGTGTGTGATTGAGTGTGTATGGCTGTTTTCCAGTGATGGGTTGCAGCTGGAAAGGCATCCGCTGCGTAAAATATATGCTGGATAAGTTGGTGGTTCATTCCGCTGAGGTGACCCCAGATTAGTAAAGAGACTAAGCTGAAAAGAAAATGAATTAATCTCAATGTTAAGAAATGCTTCTAAATCATTACCTTTTGACACGCCTCAATTTTGTGTGGTGCGGCATTATTTAGGCCAGAGGTTGTCAAAGTGGGGGTCGGGACCCCCCGAGGGGTCGTGGGACAATGAAGGGGGGTCGCCTGGTGATTTTCAAAAATCAATAAATTTTTATTAAACCTTAAGACTTACTGTATTTTATCAATAACCTACTAAAGAGAAAAAAATAGTTGTTTATAGTTACTATAAACTATATAGTTACTATAGTAGCTTATAGTTACTAGTTCTATTGGATTGCGACTTCTCGGGTAATTACATTATACTAAAGACACAGCAATACTGTCAGATGCAGCAGATTTTGTAACACCAGGTTAAACTTTCTAGCCCATTTACAGCACTGACATACATTAAAAACAAAAACAAAGAATAGACTTGGGTCTATTGGTGTGTTTGTGCGCGTCATTGCATACAAGCGTTCTGTATTTATAACCACCACCTCAGAGAATATTGGGGTCACGAGTCACTGGCATTGTCATTTTGGGGGTCGCGGGCTGAAAAGTTTGGGAACCCCTGATTTAGGCGACGCTGATTTTGTGTGATTTTTGTCTTCCTGGTGCTTCCCGCTGTCAATGGAGCAGTTCGGCGAAATGACAAAGAAAACTGATCCTGATTGGTCCTCGTACGTGCATTAAAAATGCTGATTGGCTCACAGATAGAACCTTATACAGCCAAGCTAGAGTTCGACTTTGTAGATACACCTTTTTTTTTTTTTTTTTTTTAAAAAGTCTTAAAATGTAAACAACTTATAAAAACACATCACATAATGTAAAAAAGTTGTCATTTAATAAGAATATTTTGATTACTCAAAGATTTGACAAAAATGTCAGATAGAACCTTATAATTCTAAGGTGACGACACGAGTTCATGTTTGAATAACGGCTACCTTAATCACTTGTCTGTACATGATTGTTTGTTAATTAATGTATCAATTACCACATTAGTTTATGCTTAATTTAACCATAATGAACTCATGAGCTGTTATTTTATAATTATGTCATGACTTTACTTGGAGGAGTAGAAAAGTGTTCTGTCTACATAAACATGAGCTGTATATTTTAATAACATCTAAACACACTTTATTTTAATTTCATGGGACCTTTAAGGTAGTTACTCAAGCTGAGGAAGAGGAGCAGATCCCCTTCTTCATCCTGGATGAGGTGGAAGCAATGGCTCCCCCGCTGCTCGACACCTTGCAGACGTTTCTCCAGTCAGATCAGACCAACGAGTTTCTTAACGTGGTCTATGTTTTCCTTAGCAGTCTGGGCCAAAGTGAGATCACAGCTTACGTTCTTCAAAACTCCTCCACCGCTGGAGCCCACAAGTCCCTCCGTCAGGCCCTGACTCTCCTCCATCCTCTGTGGATGGAGCCGGCGGTCCAGGTTATAGCGCTGTCCTTACTGGAGCGGGAGCATATCATACAGTGCTTTCTGGAGGAAATGACCCTCGAAGGGTTTTATCCTGATCCTGGTCATGTGGAGAGACTGGCGGACGAGCTGGCCTATCACAAAGCAGCTGGGAGACAATACGCCAAAACTGGATGCAAACAAGTGGTGGCCAAAGTCAACCTGCTTTGAGGGAGTTTTTTATATATAAAATAGCCATTATTTTCTTAAAGTACACCTGAAAACAAAACTAACCATACTGATTTTGTTAGCTCACATTTCTAGCATTGTGGTAAACAATATATCCGTGCATGGCATTTAGAAAAATTAAATAGTTTGCCCTTGTAATCTTTCATTGAAATCTGAAAATGCACTTCCTGTTTGTTTTCAGTTCATTTCTCAGATTGCATCTGTCTAAGGTATTGGGCGTGGCTAACGTAATTAACCACGCCCCTCCGACTGTCAGCTTTGACAACAAACAGAAATGGTGAGGAGGAGGAGGAGGTGTCTGTTTGGTTGTAATAACTCTCCCCAAACCCTCTTCCCCATCTTTCTGAATGAAATGCCTACTTCACCACGTCCAATCAGCTCACAGTAGAACACAACAAGCCACGCCCACTGTTTTCTAAATGAACACATTCTCTAAAGTGAACTAATGCAATTTATCAACAATATATGTCAATATGAGACTGAAGTTGAATTAAATGATTGAATACACCTTTACACAGACTAGGGGGTGCGTTTTCGAAAACCATCTTTAGCCAACTAAGGTTGCAAGTTTCGTCGATACAAACATAGTTAGTTGAAACATTTGGTTAGAACATTTCTGCAGTGGTTTGCATCTGTCAAATGGTAAAAGTCTACCTTTTTCAAATAAAACTAATTGTCGGCAGCTAGCTCTCTGCATCTCTCACATGGTCGCCCACTGAAGCTAAGCAGGGCTGCGCCCGGTCTGTACCTGGATGGGAGACCACATGGGAAAGCTAGGTTACTGCCGGAAGTGGTGTTAGTGAGGCCAGCAGGGGGACTGCCCAACCTGTGGTCTGTGTGGGTGCTAATGCCCCAGTTTACTGATGGGGACTCTATATTGTTCAGTGAGTGCCGTCTTTTGGATTGAGACTCTCTGTGGTCATTACAAATCCCAGGATGTCCTTCGTAAAAGAGTACGGGTTTAACCCTGGCATCCTGGCCAAATCTGCCCACTGGCCTCTGTCTATTGTGGCCTCCTAACCATCCCCATATCATAATTGGCTTCACACTGGTTTTGGATGAGGAGGTGTAAAGCGCTTTGAGTGCCCAGAAAAGCGCTAGATAAATGTAAGGATTTATTATTATTATTATTATTATTATTATTATTATTATTAAAACAAACAATTTCTTAATACTAATAATAATCATCATCATTAATATTATTATTAAAGTAGGATTTATTTCCTAATAAATAATAAATATTAAACTTCATGTCTTAATAAATAGTCTCATTATTTATTCATTTTTGCATATGATTTATAAATGAGATTAGAATACGTGTTAGCTTTTGTAAGTGATTTAATGTTGTAGAATATAATATGTAATGTTCTCAATAATATTTGTAAAGAACACACAGGCCCTATATGTCCCATTTACATATATTTTAATTAATATGGAAAGCGAGTGCATGTTTTTACCAAAACTAACATCAGATTTTATTTTAAATGCATGTTTGTGTTAAACAATATAATTTGCACAAAAAACCAATGGGGTTCTTCTCTAAAGTAGTAGTTCCTCCACCCCGTTTAGAGCATCATTATGGCCGTTTTATGTTATAACTAACGTGGTTCAAACGACGGAAATGCAACAGAGAAACTACGGGTTTTGGGAAACATTCGTCACTACATTGTTCTTTCCCCAAACGATGCATCGTACTATGATAGTTCAGCCGGGAGCTATGTCCTTGTTTGGAAAATGCACCCCAGGTCAGTAAGCATTTCTGTAGTCTGTACTTGTTGAAATGGAGTGCAATTGAATATTTATAGGATGATTTACTACTGTAAGTGCCTTTGTATTTTTACTGGTAAGTTGAGAAGCTAATGAAATCACAAAAAAGTGCACGGAGGAGGTGAATGAATGCAACCAATGAATGAAGAAATGCACTGGAGAATCACTGCTAATGAAATAAAAGGGAGAATCAATTAATTATTAACACAATATGTTGTACTCCATGTACTTTATGATCATAATGAGTTTTCATATATTCTGTGATAAGCTGTAACTTCCCTTTTTTACCAAACATTTTGTCAGTCAAATACCTTAAGTTTACTCTTCACAGTAGATTTAAGTTTAATTTGACTTGTAGGGCCAATTATTGTTATACTCCAACAAAATTGCACTGTATTGTACTGTATTTATGAGTAAATGCATTTGTTTTTGATTAGCAATGTTAAAAATAAATTAAAGTAAAAATGTTGACTTCATTAAAAAAAAGTCCAATGAAATACTGTAATGACCCTGTATATACTACAACATATGCTGTATAAAAGATGGTGTGTTCTTTAAAAAAAAAAAAAAATTATTTTATTCTTTTATATAACACTTGTTTTGTGTCAAACAATCATGCAAACAACCATTAAGTTTAGATAAAAAGGAGACGATTATTTCAGTTTCGTATAAATTCAGAAAAAAACATAATAATAATAATAATGCATGAAATTATAATGCAATTCAGGACTAAACACGATTGGGTCAGTCATATGAATTGGCTTTTATTAGATAAACTGGATGAACTTCTTTTGCAAATTCATTTAAGGAAGCAGAAGAATCGGTTAAATAGGAGTGAAATCAAGAGTATTATTAAGAAAAGAACGACGTAAAGGTGGCAAAAACAATGGGATAATAAGAAAAAGGGCCGGTAGTTTTACACAATTCAAATGAAGTTGGAGTAATTAGGTGTGTAAGGAAAAACAGGAGAGAGGAGATAATAATATCTAGGGCAGTAGTGTCCAAACTTGATCCTGAAGGGCCGGTGTCCTGCACACTTTAGCTCTAACTTCCTTCTACACACCTGCCTGGAAGTTTTTAGTGTACCTAGCTTGATTAGCTGCTTCAGGTGTGTTTAAAGGGGTTGGAACTAAAATATGTAGGACACCGGCCCTCGAGGACAGAGTTTGGACACCCCTGATCTAGGGTGAGATTTGGACACAAAATTAAATAGTACACTTTTAAAAATGGGCAAACATGGTACAGGACAATGTGAGTTTTGTGGACAAGAAAAGACAGTTGAACATGTTACATTACACTGCATGAAGTATGAAGATGAAAGGTGGGCTCTAAGAATTTAGAAGAGATAAATGTTCAGTTTAAACTAGATGACATTATACAAAATAACTCAGGAAACAAAATGCGTTACCTTTTTATTGCAGTCTCAAAGAAACTCATTTGAGGGAGAGGACTGAATAAAAGAAAGCAGTAGGTGAGAGGTTTAGGGAAGGGTCATGATCATCCACACTCCATGCCAGTTGGTGGCGGAAATACACCATTCTGTTGTTTGTCAACCGCCAATAAATTGAAGAAGAAAAATCTCCCTGATGAACTTCTGCTCACATGTTTGTGATGTAAGTCCTGTGGGCGGAGTTTGCTCCAGGTAAACAGTGCTCTGCTAATTGATAAATCATGTTGCTGTGCATAGTTTCGCATGTTGTTTGAAAGTTTCACAATTTAGCAACAATATATCACTATGAGAATGACGTTAAAGGAGTGAATACACAGGCCAGGTCAGTAAGCGTTTCTAGCAGCATATGTAGTCTGTGCTTTTTGAAATGGTTTGCTAATGTCAGAGCCTTTTTCTAGTTGTCATTTGAGTGAGGTGGAAATTTTAATTGGCTTATAAAATCACAAGATGAGCAGATAAAGTCTTTTTAAAACATAAATTACCTTGAGTTTGAAAATGAATCGCTAGAAAGGTCAACAAAAGGCAAACCTTCTTATGTAAAGTGTCTGTATGCCTTGCCTGAGTGTTTTGGGGAACACAATATGTGAAAAAAGTAAAAATCACCTTATTTTGCAATGTGAAAGTAAGACTTTTCTGCGGATGTGTTACACTTCCTATTCATTTGTCTACACTCTCAGAAACTATGGCACAAACGCTGTCACTTTGGTGCCACCCTTTTAAAAAGTAACATTTGGTGTGCTAATATATACTTTTAATGTACCTTTAGTGTGCAATATAGATCCTTTACAACTAATGTGTACCATTTAAGTGCAAAAGTGTGCCTTTTAAAATGCTACTGTTGTATTTGTGATAGAGACGGGAAACACAGGGGGCATTTCTTCCTAGGTTGTTGCTAGATTAGATACGGTTGCGGCCGGAAGTTACTGAGAATTATTTATATTATTTATTTAGAGGGGCCATCACAAAGCCCTGATCTCAAGCCTATAGAAAATTTGAGTGCAAAAAAAAGTTGAAAACGCTTGTGCGAGCAAGACAGCCAACAAATCTGACTCAGTTACACCAATTCTGTCAGGAGGAATGGGCCAAAATTCCTGCAAACTATTCTGAGAAGCTTGTGGAAGAATACCCAAAACATTTGACCAAAGTTATACAGTTTAAAAGCAAAGCTAAAGAAATACCAAAGAAATGTATGTAAACTTTTGACTGTCTAGAAATTAATAATGTTTTTTTTTAATTCTCTCATTATTCTGGTATTTAACAAATGTAAATCATTTAGGTAATCCTAATGTACCTAACATAGTAAACGTTTAGTATGATTTACCATCAGAGATTTTTTTAAAAATGGTTATGTTCCTTTCTGTAGAGTGTATGTCAACTTCTGGTTCCAACTGTATGTACATTTCTGGGCACTATTTTACAAGTATCACCTCAGTGTTGGCATTCATACCATTATTTCTGAGAGTGTTTGGGTAAATGACTAGAAATGGCGGTAAACGATTAAAGTATACTTGCTCTACAAAGCAGTGTGTTAATGGCAAAACTTAAAAAATGTAATAGTATGATAATCAAATAGGCGTCACGGTGGCACAGTGGGTAGCACGATTGCCTCACAGCAAGAAGGTCGCCGGTTCGAGCCTCGGCTGGGTCAGTTGACATTTCTGTGTGGAGTTTGCATGTTGTCCCCGTGTTGGCATGGGTATTCTCTGAATGCTCCGGTTTCAAAGCCATGCGCTGTAGGTGAATTAAATAAACTAAAATGGTGGTAGTGTATGTATGTGCATGCAAGTGTGCATGGGTAAGTTGCCGATTCATTCTGCTGCGGCGACCCCTGATGAGTAAAGGGACTAAGCTGAAAATAAAATGAATGAATGAAATGAATGAAAATGAAAATACCAGTTTGCTGAATCAAGCACTGTATCGAGCTGTTTTGTACAGCTAAAAATGAATAGAAGTGAATGAGACCACAAGTCTCGACACAATTAAGTTAGAATGGTCTCGCCCAATCTTACATGCAAAATTAGGTCAAGTTTCAACATAAACACTTACTGAACTGAATCAGTCTTGAACTGTGTCCCAAATGGCACACTATGCATGTATGCACTACATACTTACGCCCTTACTTACTTAACAGTAGAGTATATGTATGTAGTGTCATCCCAAATGGAACACTGACAGTTTTTTACCCTGATGACATTTGACGGTTGCCAAATTAGCAAAGTAAATTACCAAACTACCAAATAATACCTGCCATCAATATAACAGCATTCACCCATGGACAGGTGCTATAATCACTGTC